ATGTAAAATCAGAGTTCCAAATTTTTTTCCCAATTTTCTTTCCATTAGGCCCAGAAGGAAAGTTCCTGGTTTAATGTTCACTTTAAGAATTTTCTCCATTAATATACGAATCCTACTCCAATATTTCTTTGCCTTATCACATGTCCACCATAAATGTTAAAAAGTCCCTTCTTTACATTTACATTTCCAATATTCATTTGAAATACCTTCATACATTCTAGATAACTTATCTGGTGTTAAATACCAGCGATACATCATTTTATAGAAATTTTCTTTTAGGTTATAATTTAATGTGAATTTTAAGCCTCTTATCCACATAGTTCCCCATTGTTCAAACATCACATTATACCCAAAATCCCTTGCCCACTGGATCATACAGTGTTTTACATGTTCATTTTCCAAATTCAATTTTAATAAATTTTATAGACCTTGGCAATTATATGATCAACACTACCACATAGTAAGATTTCCAATTCATTTTTAGCGAACTCAAAACCATGGCCTTTTTTGTCTAGTTTAAATCTTTCCTTCATTTGTTGATGTGTAAACCAGTGACAAACGTGATCTTCTGATTCTAATTCTTCCCTGGACTTGAGATAGGGGTCTCCAGAATTGAAAGATACTATTTTACCATACGTCCACCAGTCCGTCCATTTCTTTTCTAAAAAAAGCTTCTTGGGGGAGACACTCATAGGGACAATTTCGTAAAAAACCTTGTTTTATATTTATTCCAAACACTTAATATGGCACGTCTAATAAAATGATTATTAAAATCAACATTTACTTTAACTTTATCGTATCATAAATACCCACGCTATCCAAACCTTAATTCATGGCCTTCTAAATCGAGCAGCTCCATTCTTTGGACTCTGAGCACTAAGTCTGTGTCAGAGCAATGAGTTTGGTGCATTAAGTTCATTCTAACTCTTATTAACAAAAGAGTGATACAAATCAAATAAAGTAATCCTGATTTACAATTTAGGCTTATGTATGAACTCAGATAATTGTTAATTCAATAAACCATGGTTAAACAATTGCATCTTATCATATACTAAATCAGTAAAAAGGATAATTACATTTGAAAGTACACATCAATCCACAAAGACATCACTGCAGTTATTCATCAAAGAATTCAGTCTTGAACATGTTTGAATTGATGTTTATCATTCATAATTAAGAAGTTCCAAAATGCTTTCATTTTTAAAAGGATAATATTACAAATGATTATAGTAGTACTTTGCTTCATACATAATCTAATATATGGGGAAGAAAGGAAATTCATAGTTATCTTCTGTAACTTGACTGACTCACATAAGAGAGAAGCATAAGGATCTGCACAGCATGCTCCTTAACAACTTGAGTTGATCTTCTTTTTGTCAGAATATTTTCAACCACTCTTGGGGGGTGGAGGTGGCTCACAACTATATTGGGATTGTGGTAACATCTGGCATTTTAAGAACTCTCACAAAATGATTGCTAAAGTTACCATATGCCCATATGCCTTGCTAAAACACCTAATTTTTGATCTTTATTTTTGAATCCCCTTTGTGGCCTTTAGAACCACCATCACTTAGCCTATAAACTTAAGAATTTTTATAAATAATTTCAGTATTATAATTTAATAGCATTGTATCAGCGGTTTTAGCTTTCAATTTTCTTTTATTTCATATTAGTTTTGGTAGTATTATTAAAATGGACATAATTTTTCTTGGTGGTATTTTATGGTGGTCCATGCCAGAAATAAAGATTTGATTAGCAGATTGAGTCAAATGAAAAAGGGCTTGTTCATTCATAAAAAAAGTTATGGTAATTTACAACACCTGTTTAGCAGGAGGCACATTCTGATTCTCCTGCCATTCTCTACCCACCAGGATCATCTTTAAAGTTCCTTACCTTTTCGCTTGGTAGTTGAACACATTTTCTAAAAGAGGGGAAATCACTGGACAATACTCAGTGTACTTGAAGAATTCAAAGTATTTTAATATTAGTAAATGTTTTAGTATGAAACTCCTGAGCACAATAAGAGTTTAAACATTTAGCAAGCATTAAAAAAGTAGATACTTAAGAATCTATATTGTATTTGTTGTTAAACTTCAAGAGGAAGTTAGTCAGGGCAGCTAGAGCTACGGTAGTTGAAGCTGCAGTTTGACATTTAGCAGGTACAGCTTAGCAAATCAGGCCCATTTTACATTTTCTTTTTATAATTAATTTGTAACCAATGACATTCAGAATCACATATTTTCTTGATGGATTACAAATGTGTTTTGTTGTGTATTGCAGTCTTGCCCACAGAATATTGCTGAATATGGCATGTGTATACAAGCTGGTTTTGCAAAGCTATCATAAACTGGAAACTGAAATCCTTTAGTGCAGTGGCCCCCAACCTTTTGGGCACTAAGGACCGGTTCCATGGAGAGAGGTTTTTCCATGGACCGGAGGGGGGGTTGGTTTCACTTGCTGCCTGCATCCCACAGATGGTGCTTCACTTGTTTGCACCACCCGGTTTCTGGCATGCTGCAGACTGGTGCCAGACCATGGACTGGGAGTTGGGGACTCCAGATCTAGTGTCTTGACTAGGGTGACCAGATGTACCACACAAGGAGGACATGTTGTCCTTTTTGTTCTCAAGCCTGGTGTCTTGACATTAAAATCAAATGTCTATTTCTTTCTTTTTTTAGTATTTACCAGCTATCTCTTCCTGAGAAACTTTGGCATACTACTTCCCTAATAAGTGCTAACCACAACTTTACAAATTTCACTGTAACTTTAATTAGTTAATTAGTCCCCTAAGGTTGCTTGCACTGCTGCCTGAAATTGTAATAGTTGTAATCAGTTACATACTGAAAGTTTTTGCTTCCTAACTGGCTCTAGCACATTCCTGCCATTGAAAAACCAGTCTTTCTTATGCTGGAAAAAGTAATTACATGTACTGTACATGTGCACGTAATTAAAAATGTTTTTTGCAGTTTTTCCTGATAATTTTTTTTTATTCTTAAATATTTTATTAGATTTTATAAGGATAAAGGGGAAGTGGGTTCAAAAAGGGTATAACAAGGAGTGACAAACAAAAAGGTTAATTTTTGTTGCAGATGCCAAGAATGTTAATCAATTAGTATGTCTTCTTTTTCTCCCATTTGTCCTTCTTTCCAATTGTCAGTGTCCTCCTTTGCTTCTTTAGATATCTGCAACTCTATGGTTGAGTAGTCTAAACAAATTTTATCTTGACAAGGGAAGGAAATTTTATAAATCATAAATAGGATAGATTCATCTAACAATTTTTCTCCAATGGTGTCCACTGCTATTTTTGAAACAACTTTTGAAGCATACTTTACATGGAGTCCAAGACATTATTAGTTATTAAACAAACTGAAAAAAAGTTGGCATTTTGTGTAACAATAGATTCCTTTCAATTCAAACTAAAATTAACTCAGTGAGGCAGTTTCTGGTGGTGTATATAAAAAATGGCCATCCCATTGAGAGCTTCATGTTTAGCCTATGACATTTCATAAACTTAGTGATTTACAACCATTAACTATAGATATTGCAAAGATACCATCCAATTTAGGTTTATATGCTATCTTTTTTATAGAAAATTGACATAACTAGATGTCCACAGGTCTAGGTATATTACATCAATCAATACCTACAATACATCTTCGTTTTTGTTGAGCACCCAAACAGCTAACCCAGGGGTGTCAAACTGCCAGCCCACAGGACGTACGCATCATCTGGAAGCCGTGCCCACCCCATTGCCAATGGCAAAACCGTCCCGATACATTGCGTGATGTCACATGACGTCGCGAGTTTGACATGTCTGAGCTAACCTAACCACGTTGGAAATGGAAACAACACATCCTATCAATATAAAAAAACATTGCAGGTTAGGCTGTTCTTCCAGGCTTTGGGTTAGAATGACAGTCGAAAGCCCTTTGGTTCTTGGTTCTGCCTTCTGGTCTACTTTTTTTTCATTGTTAAGTTGCCCAGAGACCCTGTCGTGTCAGGTGAAAATAAAATGACTCCATTCAAAATAATGAATACAGGTAGTCCTCGACTTACGACAATTGAGCCCAAAATTGATGCTGCTAAGAGAGAAATTTGTTAAGTGAGTTTTGTCCTATTTTAAGACCTTTCTTGCCACACTTGTTAAGTGAAACACTGCAGTTGTTAAATTAGTTAAATGAATTTGGCTTCCCCAATGACTTTGCTTATCAAAAAGTTGCAAAAGATGATCACATGTCCCCCAGGCACAGCAACTGTCATAAATATGAACCAGTTGTCAAGCATCCAAATATAAATTACATGACCGTCAGGACCAGGCTGCAACTGTCACAAGTGTGAAAACTGGTCATAAGTCACTTTTTTCAGTGCCATTGTAACTTCCGTCACTAAATGAACTGTTGTAAGTCGAGGACTATATCTGTACCTGAATGCATACTTTGGTTATGGGGCAAATGCAGCCATGCATTTTGCCTTTCCCCTATATTATTGTTGTAATTGTTATTATATTTGAAACGAACTAGGATGCCTGCCTCGAAGTTCCGCTTCGCTCATGGGTTCTGTCCCCATTTGGCAGCGCTCATAAACCGCCCTCGCCGGAACTTGAACGGAGTCGGGTTTTTCCGTAACACATCGTGAACCGCGAAATCACTCGAGTGCCTTCGTCGTGGCCACCCTTTCCCCCCCACCCTCCGTTTAGCATTCCCGAGCATATTCGGCGATTCCCGGAAAACCTCGTATCTTCTCCTCTTCGGACATTTCCGTAGAGGACTGCGGCGCTTTCCCTTTCTTAGAAGCGCCGGTGAGGTGCATTGTGGGAGATCGCAGTGGATCCTGGGGCGGAGGAAGGAGGAGAATTCCCCCGTCTTAGAGTCAGGCCGCCGCCGCCATCTTGTCTTACTGTCGCCGCCGGGCCTTGGGCCTGCTGTGCGAAGGGGCCTGCGAGGTGGACGTGGTGCACCCGGCGGCCCCGCGTGGGATCCTGGAGATCCCTTTGGGGCCGCGCTGAGGACCGCCGCACCGGCGTTTGCTGAGGCGCTCGGGATGGGCCGCTCCCGCTCGCGGAGCTCGTCCCACTCCAAGCGCGTCAAGAGCTCCAAGCACAACAAGAAGAACCGGAGCCGATCTCGGTCCCGTTCGCGGGAGAAAGAGCGGGCCCGCAAGCGCTCCAAGTCGCGGGAGGGCAAACGGAGTCGCCGGCGGGAGTCCCGCTCCAGGTCCCGCTCCAACACTGCGCCCTCCCGCCGCGAGCGAGAGCGCGAGCGGGAGCGCGCCTCCTCCCCGCCCGACCGCATCGACATCTTCGGCCGGACGGTCAGCAAGCGAAGCAGCCTGGACGAGAAGCAGAAGCGGGAGGAGGAGGAAAAAAAGGCCGAGTTCGAGCGGCAGCGGAAAATGTAAGCGGGACCGGCTGGGCGGGAGGCGGGGTGGCTCCTTCTCTCCTGGAGGCTTTGGGATGAACGGGCGGCAATTCCTGAAAGGTTTGCAGGAGGCAGCTGAGCGATGCAGAAATCAACATGCACATCCGCTGTTAAACTGCTGGATTAGGCCTGGGGTGCTGGATAGCAAATTTGAAGGCATAATTGCAACTGCCAGAAAAGGTAAGTGGGGAGGAATGAAAGGATCCGGTTGGACCTGGTTATTGTTTGGATGGGCGACCACAAGGAGATGAACAAAGCTGGGGATTGGAAAAATGTCTTAGTAGGTAAGAGAATGTCAAACCATACTTCCATATTACTGCCTGGAAAAAAAAAAAAACTTGGATCTTATTTGTATGCTCATCAGAAACCGAACGTGACTAAATAAAAATTGTCGCTTTTTTATTACTTCTTGGTACAAGATCATTTCAGCATGGAATCGTTTAATCATTAATATTACAATATTCTCAGGACAATTCTTAGCTATTTTTGACCTGTCTTCTCCCTTTTTCTGAGAGCAATAATCAGTTTTCTAACTGCAAGCTTTGCAGTTCTTTTTTTAAAAAAAAACATGATTCTGATGCTTTCGTAGTAGAGTAAATTTTATTTGGTCACCATGTTAAATGTATTAGTAAAGATAACTGGGGGGAGGGGCCGGAAGTAGGCTGGCTATATTCAACAAGAGTTAGCACCATCTTTCAATTTATGTTTTCAATCTGCTATTATTAAGATTAGCATTATAAAAAGGAAGTTTCAGTTTCCAATCCACAGCTTTCATTTTCATTTATTTTATTTTATTTTATTTGTATTCTACCATAGTCTTGAATATTAACATAATTTTTCCCTGGCTCACTCTTTGTTTTTCATAATCAATTTTGATACTTAGGGAAGCGCACTGGTAATTTTTGTAAAATAGCATTTTCTAATTCCTAATAAACCTTGCTGAGCAGCTTCCATGAATACATTCCAGTGTTCTCTTATTGCTAAAAAATAAATAAGTGTAGTCTGAGCTGTTGTGATGAATGCACCTGTTTTTTTTTAACTTAGTGTAGAAAGGCAAGAGTTTTCTCTGTGTAAACAGTTATGTTGCTTTAGATTATATTTATAATATTGGTTTGTCAGATTCATTTTGACAGAAGGCCTACACCAGTATTGTGATTTGTGTAACATTGCTGTGGGAAGTGCAACACTTGCATTAAAATGTCAGTTTCTATCATAACAATGAGAAGTTTGCACCCTGATTCAAACTGAAATGTGGAATGTCACAGGCTTGAGATGGCCTATTGATACTAAGTCATTAAAATTTTGAGTATTTAACTAGGCATCAGTGGTAACAAAAATTGATTAGCATTTTGATACTGTCAAAATCAGTGTCTGAACATTTGAGATTACAGAGTCAGTTGGTAAAACAAGGTTAAATATCAAAAAGGTGAAGGAAAGCAACTGATGCTTAAAAGGTAGATGAGCAACAACATTACTAGAGTGCCTGCTTTGCTTTTTATTGAGCACAGTATACTTTGAGGTATCAAAATGAATGCAATTCTGTTTTTACAAAGTATCATTTAACTTGGTAATCAATAGAGGAGAATATTTGTAGTCAGGGTTGAAATGAGAGTCCTTGGTGCTTTCTGACTTTGTTTTCTTGCAGACGTTTCATTACCCAAACTAGGTAACATCAGTGCTAGTAGGGAGTGGGATCAAAGAGCACCAAGGAGCCCTAACTAGATATTTAATATGCTTCATTAAAATCTGAGGAATTTATGCTCCAGTCTAAATTTTGGTTTTATGACATGGTAAAAATTAGGAATATAAATTACATCAGTAAAATATTCCTGTCTATAGCATCTACTATGTGTTCAAAAGAATTTATTCTAATATATAACAACGTTAACAAAAGACATAAATTGCTGGTCTGGCTCATGATGGGTTGATTGTTTTATTCAAGATTTAAAAAAACATTTTAATTAATTTTTGCATTATATATGCATTTTGTCCAGCTGAATAATTGATGACTACCTTATTGTTTGATAATAATGCTTTGATAACACATTTCACTGCTTGAATGAGTTCTCTGATGAATTGTCATGAAGTGCTAGATTTTAAAACTTGAGTTCTATATTATAACCCAGGAGATGTAATTTATCTCTGTGAAACGTATTCTTCCATTCCATTATTCTTGCATTAGGCCTCTGAAGACAGTGCATATTTTTGGTATTATAAAATATCCGTCATGGTCTTTTGGCTTTGATAAATTTTAATAATAAATATGCTTATAAATTGTAAGGTGCTTGGTCCATCTAAAGATTTATGCAATTGCATTTGGAAAGCAATGCTTTGAATCTCATATTTCTCCTATAAATATTTTCGTTCCTAAAATTCTTCCCTACTTTTTTCTTATATAAACACTCAACACTTGCCGTATTACAGTGTGTAAGCATGATGTATGCAAGAGGCTATTCCTGAAGTGTGGTGTAGAATTTAATTTTCTTGACATTTGAAACTGTATATTTCTGTCCCTGTAGTCGGCAACAAGAAATAGAAGAGAAACTTATTGAAGAAGAGACCGCCAGAAGAGTGGAGGAGCTTGTAGCAAAGCGAGTGGAGGAAGAACTGGAGAAGCGGAAAGATGAAATTGAGCGGGAAGTTCTCCGCAGGGTGGAGGAGGCTAAGCGCATCATGGAAAAACAGTTGCTCGAAGAACTCGAGCGACAGCGACAAGCTGAACTTGCTGCACAAAAGGCCAGAGAGGTAACGCTCGGTCGTTTGGAAAGTAGAGACAGTCCATGGCAAAACTTTCAGTGTTGGGTTGTGCCTCCTGTTACGTTGAGAAGGAGATGGAATACAGCAAATCTAATTCCTTTCTTGTGTAAACTTGCATTGCTGCGAAACCTAATTTCTAACTTATTCAGAGGAGCTAACTGATACCTCAAACATTCTTCCAAAACCTGTGAAAGGATACTTGAATTTTAATGGAACCGGCCTACTTATTTGAGACTTGTTTGAAACTTTTGCCATGGCTGCAGGATATATCCACAGTTCTTTCTTAACTGGGGGAATGGGTTGAACAATCTGTGACTATGTATCCTTCATTTGTTTTGTTTTATTTAGACTGTAAGAGGCTTTATGCCTTCAGTCAGCAAGAAAAAAAACAACAACAGCAGGGTCCATCATTGAGCTGCAATGCCTTATCTTAAAGAAAGAGTTTTTCTTGTTTTTCCTCTAAGGCAGTCATGCATTCCTCTTGACTACACAGTGGAGTAACTCTGGAACTGTGGTCCCATTCACTTTCACAAAAGGCCTATGCCAAATTCGTGAGATCCATTTTTTTACCAGTGCTACTAACAACAACTTCTTTTTCTCTAGACTAGAGAGTTGTAAAAGAGCAGGTTGTCCTTGTCTGAAGTTGAGCTAAACATGTGACTTCTTCTGTCAGCAGCTGGAGCAGAAGCTGAAAATGTCTTTCTGTGAGACAGTAATTTGCTACTGGAGGTTTTAATGCTTGTCAGCACTAATCACTCCAGGATCCCCAAATTTTAAAGTTCTTTTTAAACTTTCTTAAAAGTAGTGCTGAGTTAGACCACACTCTCCATATTTTCCTGCATTATGATTTGATTAGTTGCTTTTAATCAATTTAGTTGATAATAGGAAAGAGTTTAATAAGATACATTTTAATATAATACAATATGTTTAAAATTTTTAAAAAATGCATGTAATGGAAATTCATTTTAATTCTACAAATCAAGAGTTTGGCTTTACATAAATGCTGAATTATAAAAGATTACAAATCTTTTTGAAAATCTATAATGGATTTTGGCTGAAATCATGGATCCTCACCATTCTAAGAGCAGATTAAATAGTAGTCATTGAGTGATCACATTAGGACTTTTACTGTGGAGCATAATCTTGAATTCCTGGAGTGAAGGGTGCAAACCTGTAGCTGGTTACTAGACATAGCAAGAAATATTTCTTCAAATACTTGCTTTGTTCTTATTAAACTATATTTTTGTGCAGACCTCAGGCTGTTTACAAAACCTGCCAAATATAAAATAACCTGAATATTTATTATGTTATTGAAATTACTCTTGCAATCTTTTTGCTTATGAGTTACATAACAAAGTTTCTTTAAACTTTTATAAAAAGAAACCTCGATTTGATTTCTATATCATACTTTCAATGAACTCCTGAATACCAGTTTAAATGGTAGAAGGACAGTTTAATACTGTCTTTAAACTTGTCACACTATAGGATGTTCAGTCCATTTGCCCACAAAGGAAACCCATAGTTCTACAGAATATGGATAACCATTTGTACTTTTTGCTAACAGTAAATGTATTTTTTCTTATTAATTGTTTGCTTAGGAATGTTTTACATATTTTTTGTTCCTTCTTACCGTAAACATCTGCATTCTTCAGCTCAGCCTTCCTTGTATGTTGTTTCTTTATAAATGGTTGAGCTGCTGATGCAGGCATTGCCAAGCTAACAGTACAAATCATTTTAAAGAGGAAGCTGGCGCGTATGGCAGCCGAGGAGCACACTCTGCAGGACACTGGACAAGACAGTAAATATTCAACTTTTAATGCTGATTAAAGGAGTATAGGTAAAGAATGCGTAGGTATACATAATTGGTGAGACAAACTATTCACTTTATTTATATTTTATATATTACTCTTTTAATTTGGTAAATGCTATCCAGTTTTGTAGTTGTCCTTGTTGATTTGTGTGATATTAAAATGCTAGTAATAATTGGCTAGGATTCTCTTGATTATGGAGGGTTTAGTTGGTTGCTGTTTGGATTGGGAGGGATGATTTAAATTTAGAGCTAGAGACCAATTAGTGGTTGCACAGTTTGCTGTTTGAAAGACAAGAGGGTGGCTATAAAGCTGTCCCTGTTAAGTCAGTGTACAGAAGGAATTTCTAGGAAGACTAGTGCAGATGGCTAAGTGAGTATTTTACTTTTCTAACATCTTACCCTATCCTCCCGTTTAGGAGGAAGAGCGTGCAAAGCGTGAGGAACTTGAACGAATACTAGAAGAGAATAACAGAAAAATTGCAGAAGCACAAGCTAAATTGGTAAGTAAATTTTACTATAATTGAGAGAAAAAGCAGTAAATCCTGGGGGGGGGTGTCAAGTAGGATTACTGAACATAAATTACAGGTTAACATTTGCATAATGTCACCGATTCTTAGGCCCACCATTTGATTGAAAAATGTTTATCTCTTTGTTAGGAGGTAGTCATAATCTCTTTCTTCTCACTCCCTGAAATCTGGTCTAGAAATATTGGGAAGCCAACCACTGTACTGGTAGTCTAAATTTATCATCAGTTACAATGCACCCTTCCCCAGAATATCTTACAACCTAGATTTGCACTTCTGATGGCGTGTCTTCCCCCCGGTTACATGGTCGTATTTTGGATGTTAGGCAACTGGCCCACATTTATGGGTCATATGACTGTGATTTAGGACTTTTTTTTGCCAGAAACTGACATTTCCAGCAAAAATTGCTCACTGGGGACAATGGGTTCACTTAATGACAGCTAAAACAATGTAAAATTGGGTCGGTATGTGTGCCTCGACTTAATGACTGTCATGCCACGTGATGGAAATTCTGAGCTTCATTACAATCATAAGTCAAGGACCACCTATACCAGTGATGGCAAACCTTTTAGAGACTGAGTGCCCAAACTGCAACCCAAAGCCCACTTATGCATCGTCGGGTGCCGAGTGGGTATGGCCCATTGGCTGTGTGTGGCCAATTGGGTGGGTGTGGCTGCGGTGGTAACGGCAGACTGGGTGGGACTAAAAAGTTCAATCAATCAATTCCAACTTTGCAAGATCTTTTTTTTCTCCATGAGAAGTTGAAATTGACTGATTGATTGAACCTTTTTTTTTTTTTTGCACATGGCAGCGGAAGCCTAAAGCGAAAAGGTTTTATAAAACCCAGCTGAAGGCCTAGGACTGGGGCGACGGCGCGTGTGCCCACAGAGAGGGCTCTGAGTGCCGCCTCTGGCACTGGTGCCATAGGTTCGCCACCACTGACCTATACAGAAGTAAAAGTGGTCAACCTGAGATATTGCCAAGCCCCAAGCTTTCGTATTGACACCTTAAATCTATAAATGTTATCAAATTGTTAATATAATAAGAGAGCATTATTAAATATGGGATTTGAGAATGCTTGCATGGTTTTTTAATTTAATATCATTAAATGAAAATGAATTCAAATTTTGTTCTAGTCTCACCCAGTGTTTCTTAAAATCAGAATCTCATGTGCAGTGTTTGAAACGCAAAAGCTTTTGCCGCTCTGTATTTATTTTCCCCCATTGTTACAAAAACATGACTGCAACGTTTGGATTCACTTTTCTCCTTCCCTAGGGCTTCTTCCTGGAAACCCTAGGCTATTTTTTATAGAAGCTGTAAAACCTGAAAGACAAATATTGAATAAAGTAATTCTTAACTTTCATGCTAGAATTATTAAGTCCTAGTTTTTAATTTGCATTAGCAACTGTATCTCAGATCAGATTATACTTGACCCTGTGGGTTGAATTCATAAATTAGGGATATAGGAGAGATTCTCCAATGTACAAATTAATTCTAGATGGATTGGTTAAAACTGATCTTTTAACATCATTGTGGTCCTACATCATTTTAGATAGCCAACTGTTTTTGGTGATTTTAAGCTTCAAGCATCTTGGGTCAACATTTCTCAGCTACTTTTGATCTTATAATTCTAAATAGTTTTCCTAACTTTCTATTGAAACATTATTTAATCTTGCTTGCTTCTCTCAGCCTCTTTGTTTTGATTCTTGTTTTTATTCTGTGTCCTGTAAATCATCACTTGCAAGTATTTTTTTTAATGAAATTGTGATAGGAAACAATATGAAAATGGCTTATTTTCTTTGAGTAATTCAAGACAGTTTACGGGTGTTGCATGGATTTACATCGTTTTCCCCTAATGCTAAAGAATGGAATAGCAGTCAGCTGTTCTCAACAAAGATATGCTAGTACCATATATGTAATGTTATGTAAGGTATATAAAATGTAATCTAAACTCTGTTGTTTTCTGCTTACAGGCTGAAGAACAATTGAAAATTGTAGAAGAACAAAGAAAAATTCACGAAGAGAGGATGAAACTAGAACAAGAAAGACAACGTCAACAAAAGGAAGAACAAAAAATGATCCTAGGCAAGGGAAAAACTAGGCCAAAACTGTCCTTCTCACTAAAGACTCAGGATTAAATTTCAGCTCCGAACTCTTAATGAAAATTGGGAAAAAAAATCTTTGTATAGTAGCTTCATGTTGAAGTGGGTTTTTTTTAATTTTCTTTGGTGATTTTTTTTTCTTTTTGGACATCTGAAAAGTTAGCTTGTTCTAATAGGGGCTGTGCTCTGCATCTCTTATTTTAACGTCTGTTAAGTTAAATCCTTATCAGATCATTGTCTTAAAGAATAAATTTATTCTTATCTGTTTTGATTCTGTGATAAAGTGGTTTGATGCAGATCAGGTCACTTTATAAATTATGTATGGTCTGATAAGGTTTTTACTACCTGCTGATCTCAGAGATATACTCTGATGCTAACTATTAAAGCTGGTTTTATTTTGCTGACTTTAAAAAAAGTTTGGCAAATATATTGGTAAATTCCCACAGTGTACTGGATCCTCAGTGGTTTGTTATACCAGTGTCTTTTGATACTACTCCACTATTGTGCTTGATGTTCCTGATACAGGTAAGGAAAAAGTTGGTCAGTGTTGCTGGAGATGTGTAAAGGGAGTTCAGTATTGTCTCTACTAGAATTGTTTTTATTCCACTGATAAAACTCAACCAGCATTCCCAATTGTGTAAATAAACCAATTTGCTGAATAAAATAAAATCTTAAATTCATGTGTTTTAAGTAAATTTTTTAGTGCATGTATATTTTATGCTAATAAAACTTATTTTCCCCAAATCAGGCACACATTGGAATTAAGTTCACCAACATTTTTCATACTTTCAGAGCCAAGATTGCACTACAGGTTGAAATTATTGTCCTGTTAAGTGGCTTTTGCTGGCTTAATGATGGTTTTTACACTGATGGGGCACTTGTTTCAACTATGGATTTGCTGTCTTTTTGGCAAGGATCTTGATAGTTAGATCTTATTTCCTTACATAATAAAATTGTGGACTTCATATTTGGCTCAGTTTCAAAACGAATTGCCATGGAGCGTTATGGAGTTCTGTTTGAGGACAGCTTTGGTCTTATAATTAGTTTGATAGGTTTCGGATCCCCAGCCTGAACATGATGGGCAAGTAAAACTGGCCACATAGTTTAAAAAACGGGCATCAAACTCACTGTGTCATGTCACGTGCCGCGACAGATCACGACTTTTTTTGCATTGCTGGGGTGGGCGTGGCCTCCGCATGATGCAACTGGCCTACGGGCCGGCAGTTTGACACCCCTGGTTTAAAATAATCTATTAAGCGTACTCCATTTTTAAGATCCTGTAATCCATTAATTTGGCATTGTGTTCCTGAAAATATTCACAAGCACTTTTGGGCACAACAGTTCATTACAGTAATTTTGTAACTTTTTTTTGCCAATGTTGTAAGATTAAATGAAGATTAAGTTTGCAAGTAATTGCTAGTCGTTCTAGATGCAACACTTGCAAGCTGATTGTTTTCGACAGTTCCCTGAATTCTTTTTCACATGTAGGTTGAACCTTGTCATGTACTATTTCTTCTAGAATTGCAGCATCCTTAGTTAATGTTCTTATTCCAGTATTTAAATCAAAATATCAACAACAATGGTACCCATTCAGTTTTGTTTTTATGTAACATCAATTGTATCAAGTTTCCAGTATGTGGCACACATTGAGCAGACTCCTGTTTTGCTTGCACAAAGTACGGAATGATAGATCATGAAATATACAGTCGAACAATCGGTATCTCTGAGAATGTTTTTAATAAATTAATATTGCTGTGACCTTTGTGCTGTTCTTAATTTAATCAGACTAAAATAAAGTAATAATGCCTGGGAGTTTCAGATTATTTCAAATCTCATTAGATTTTTTTAAAATTAATTGCTCTGATGCGGTAACTAGAAGCATTCCTTTAGAAGAGACAGTTTGAAATTATGGCCATCTAAGTGTAGTTGGCATTTTCAAATCTCGATCTCAGATATAAGCATACAGCTTATATCAAATAAACTGTTATATCAAATGAATTGGATCCAAGTTTGCTTTTGCCAAAGCACAAAGCATGAAGTGTAGAGGGGTGGTTTATCAATTCCCCCCCCCCCATTACATCCATGTGCATCTTGTACATATTCAGATGATTCTGGAACCTGGATCAAATTTTCACAGGTCAAGGCAATCTCAAAGAAGGAATCAATTAGGGATCAATCATCAACCCTAAGTCAAAAGTCTTTCTGGAAAGCATGATGTGGATTGAAGTATTTTTATTAATTTTGAAAGTGGTGTCTTCTTATTTATAAGAGTCTAGTTTTTCATTTAGGAAGTGCACTTTTTAATATACATTTGCCTTATAATTGTAGTAGTATATCCAGTTATGCAATAATGTCTCTGAGGAAGTTTTTTGCCTGTTTTGCTTTGCTAAGACTTCCGCTGTTTTATTTGCCCTAAAAATCCCATCACTAAAAATGAGCGCAGTTTATTATCAGATGTTAGTAAGATCTTGAATGCTCTGGGTTGTGCTTGACCTTGAGAAGAAAGGCTTGGTGTTGCTGATGCCAGCATACAGGCTGTCAAAAAGAAAAATACTGCATACTATTTATTCTATCTGGGGCCACCTTTGATAAGTGCCTTAAAATTGATGCAAATGGAAAGTTGCTAGTAGATGAAAGCTGCCAGGAAAATATAGCGCCAGTTGTGGGAATGCTGATTAGCTTCCAGTAAGGTCTTTGTGAATAGAACTGACCTGGTGCATTCATTCCAGATGGAAATGTGGAAAGTACCACAATATTTTGGAGGAAGATGTACATGCTATCTTACCTTGGAGATCTGAATGGTGCCTTCCCTGATGGTATTCAGAAGGACCATTGGAACGGTTCTTTCACAACCCCCTAATAAAAATGTTATTACTTGGCTTTTAAAGAGTTGAAATATCATCACTTATATAGATGCTGGAGTTAAGTTGTAATGTGGAGTTGGTTATAATTTTTATGAAGGTTTTTTTTAATTCATGGGGTCTTTGTAGTGTTGGCAATACAGAATATGGATATTATAAATAAATGCTAAGTTGTAAAATAAAATGGATACTTGTTAAAAAAGGGAACAAGAACTGGAAATAGTAATAGTAATGAACAAAACTTCACCACAGCGGCTCTCTCTGTGTATACGTGTATACACATACATTACATACACATACAAATGCTGCTGTTGTGAAAGTTTTCCAGTTCTGGCTCCCTTTTTTAACAAGTATCCATTTTATTTTACAACTTTTATTTCCTACAACCATGTGGGTCTTAGTTGTAGGAAACAATCCTGAACTGATTGGGAATTTAATCACTTCTGCTAATAAGCACGCGTGTGCTACTCAGCCTAAAAGCTGTAACTCAGCACAAATATTTTAACGGAAACCACCTTTAGCAATGCCCCAAATAAAATATGTGAAAAATAAATTAATACATCTTGATCAAACGGGAACAAAAAGCTTAGATGTCCCCAATTTTTCCTGTAGTTCCTTAAAATACTCCATAAGAACAGCCTCTCTAAGCCTGCCGAAGTATAACTGGTGTTTCCAGCTATACTGCAAAAGCAGCAGTGAAGAAACGGGGCCAACAGGCTGAGCTTGAGGTATAACGTGCTCAAGTGTGATTCATTCAGAATTACGTTTTGTAACTGGCTGTCTAATAAAACCATATCTTCATAGACAAGGAGAAGTTCCATTCTGTGATTAATATTCGTCACTAGGTGTACATAACAAGCATGTTGCTTGCTTCCAAAGTTTTCCTGCTACCAGGAAAGATGGTGTTGATTTAACTTTCAGTTAGGTTGCCGAATCTCTGAAACTTAAGTCATTCTGATTCCCATTTTTATTGCAGATTCACTAAATCTCTTATGTTTTCTTCCATATACAAGGGGACAACTTCAGTTTTGCACTAAAGCAAGCTGTTCAGAATTTACCCACATCTCATCCTGTTTATACATGTAACAAAAATGTCTAATTTTGGTCTTGCTTGCTAGGCCCAAAATGTCAAATTTGGAAATTGTAACGTTTTTATTACTCGATTTAGACTCTTTTTTGTTTAATATGGTGTCAACTGCCGATTTTTATTTTTATTTTTTCAAAAATGCTCAGCATAAGGAACAGGCTGTCTATAACTAGAAGAGGAAAGGGTTACAGTTACCAGCTTCTGGTGTGGCGTCCTGAGCGATTCCGATTCGAAGTATTGCTGCCTGTGAAGCTTTTGCCCCAACCAACTAAATTTCCTGGAAGGACATTGTCAGGACAGTCACTTTATGGGGAAGAGAGAAAAAAGAAGCGGCTTTTGTCCGGGGGATTATTTTTGTGAGTTTTCTGCTGCTGACCTTTGCTTTATTTCCTTCCTTGCATGTGACTATTCTCAGCAGCTGAGGAAATGGTGACAAAGCTTCAAGTTCAATTTGGAAGGCTTTTTCTTGTGCCTTGCTTGAACTAAAGTCAAGAGGAATATAATTCTTTAGTTGGGGTTTAACTCCATGCTTTTAAGTTCATCCTGGCAAAACTGAAGCTGTCTGATGAAAAGATGGAATTCTTTGCATCTCTGGAGCCAGTCCAAATGCAACTTGATTCCTAGAGTAATTCCATTTTAGGTTCGGCCAAGACTTTCTGGTTAAGAGCCCAGTGCCAGCAAGAATTCCTGGAAGCTAGATCCTGGGGACAATCCCTTGGAAGTCAAACCAAATCATCCCTGTCTGCAATCCAAGGCCTGTTTACCTACTGTCCAGACACAAACGGTTTTATTGTCACCAAGGCAGAGATTTTATTTCCAATGTAAACCACAAGAGACTTTCAAAGATCCAGAAGGTTGAATATATCCAAACGGGGAGGGGGAAACACCCCCCTCCGCAAAACGGTGCTTTTTCCCTTAGGACGAGACCTTCCTCTCTCCTTAAAAAGGGGGATCTGCCCTGAGCTAATTGCCCCCTTTGTTCCCAGAGGGAGTAGTTTTGCAAAGAAGAAAAAGCTGGTTGCCACTCACAAGTCGATTTGTTCAAAACCGGCTTCCTCTTTTTATACTCCTCAATCCGGCTGGATCTCAAACCGGCTTCCTCTTTTTATACTCCTCAATCCGGCTGGATCTCGTCAGATCTTTTTTTTTGTTGTACCGTAAAACCGTGGCGAGGGAGACGAGCGTTCGAGAGCGCGCACGAAGCTTCCCCAACCTCGAAGCGAAATTAAAGTCCAAAGTTGGAGGCTTCGCACCTCTCCATTTCGCTGCTGCTCCTTTGTCGGTTCTCTTCCTCTCCCACCCACCCACCCACCCCACGCGGGCCTCGCGTGGCGGGCTCGATCCCTTCGCTGGCTTCTAGGCTAGACAAATCAGAGTAATTCTTGCCGGTAGCCCGGGCCTCCTTATCCCGAAAGGAGATGGAGAATCAATCACCAGTTCCCGGTTCAGGCAGCCGCAGCGGTAGGCCCCTCTCGCCAGAACAGAGCTTTAGGCAATCCACGCCGTCGCCCATTTCTTTGGCAATAAGCCCTAGTGATGAGCCAGACTTGGTCCTGCAAAAATCTGCTCGGGGGATTGTAGTCAGGACCTTAAAAAAAAAACACACAACAACACCAGTTGCTTAGGGCTACTAGAGTGAGGCTGTATAAATCCGGACGATCCCCCCAACCCTTCCCCCCCCCACCCCAGGAAGAAAGGGTTAGAGATGCCTGTACGTTTCCGCTGCCATCTAGTGGTCGACCGGATTTTTGACAGCCCAGATCTGGTAACTCTAATCTTCCGTTTCCCTTGTTTCTGATCGAGGCGCTTTGAAATGTGCAAACCTTAAGAGTTCATTTGTGCTGTGGCTGAGGAAGGGGGGGACGTCCGAAAAAGAAGCGAAGTGGCCAAGGAAGTGATTCCGTCCGTCTCAAGCTTTCTCTCACACGCCGTTCAGCAGCCAGGCCCCGGCAGCCGCACCCAGATCTATTCAAAGGAAGATTTAGCGAAAGAGCGCCGAAATCGTGAAAGAAGAGAGTCCGGAGTTTGGGAAGACCAGCCCCATCCAACCCTCCTTTTTTAAAATGCTTTTCCTAGGCATCTTCTAGGGCGCCTTACCTGGGAACGTCGGGCCGTCCCTTGCTGCAACTGTCGAGGACTTCGGCCGGGGCTCCCTGAGCGGGTTGGGCCAAAAGCCGATCCTCTGCACGGTTCCTCGGGAGAAGCCACCTCCAGA